GAATGCTGGGGCTAGAGTCAGGACGACTCCTCTTCCTGAGTTCAAATCTGGCCTCAGAATCTTACAAGCTGTGTGACCCTGGGCAAATCACTTAAGCCTGTTTGCTTCAGTTTTCTCATCAGTAAAAGGGCTGGAGAAGGAAATGGCACATAATTCTGGTATCTTTGCCAAGAAAATGCCCAGGGGGTCACAAAGAGTCAGACACAACTGAAAATGACTAAAAACCAACTGGATATGCATAAGCACAGAGAGCCCATCAGAATTCCTCTGTGCAGCTTTGGCTAGGCATTTGGGTCTACCTTCAGGTTGGGAAATAAGTTAAGCGGATTTGGAAAACTAGAGATTGGGTGACTGAATACTGAGGCAATATGAATGGGGTAGGGCTGCTGTTGGAGCTCCAGGGGCTGCATTCACTGCCATCTTCAGCAACCACATTAGTCTAAAGAAGTGAGGAAAGGTGGGACAGCTAGATGGTGCAGTGGATAGAGAATGGGCTCTAGTGCCTGGAGGACCTGAGTTCAAATCCGACCACAGACACATAACACTCACTAGCTGTGTGACCCTGGGCAAGTCACTTTAACTCCATTGCCTGCCCCCTACCCCCAAAAAAAACCAAGAAGTGAGGAGAGGGTTTCTGACCTACAATTCAGGAAAAGAGGTACCAGATGGTAAAGTGCCTAATTCGCCTTCTTACTATTTGAGAGGGCAAATGTTAAATCCAAAGTCTTTCTTCTACTCCTTAAAGTTAATTTAAATTTTCTGTTGTAATTAGTACTAATTCTGGTTTTTTATAGATAAGAATGTGATTAATTACTTCTGATGTTATAAGTCATTTTTGGGTGAAGGAGGATGTACAAAAAGAGGGCCAGTGATGGCAAAGTGAAAGGGGGCAGAGAATAGACTCTTGTCTATATCCTTGGCATTCCATTCCATTCAAGGGAGTTCTACCCGCTGTGGTAGATTCCCAGGGTACAAAGACAAAAACAAAAATAGCTTTTGTCTTTCAAGAGCTTATATTACATTTAGGGAAAACAACAGTACACAGATTAGTATGTATGTGTGTAAATACATACCTGTATACACACATACATAAGTGTATATGTATCTATGTTTGCATATGTATGAATATGTGTGTATGTATATATATGTTTATATATACATATATACACACATACACACATGTTTAAATTTCATTTTGTTAGGCCTGGCCTAATGCTGTGTGTGTGTGTGTGTATATATATATATATATATATATATATATATACACACACACACACACACACACATACACATACATACATACATATATCCATATACATACACATACATACATATACATATATACATGCATACAATATATAGGTGTACATACATATACTATATCTATACACCCACACATTAATCTGTATACTGTTTAATGTTTTATATAGCATTGTATAGTATAGTATATGCAATACATACTACATATACATTATATATATTAATTTATGTGAGTATATATCTATATATACTATATGTGTGTATGAATACTATGTCTCTCTTTCTCTCTATATATATACATATATACATATATATGCATGTGTGTGTGTATACATATAAATTGGGGGGGAAACTTTTCAAAATTAGAGACAGATTAAGTCATGTGGATGGAATGCTCTTTTTTCCTCCTGTAAGTTTTAACCACAGGCTTCATAAGTAGTTGTATGAGCTGGAGTTATTGTGGTCATGATGCCTTTCGCCATTTCTTCCCTCCAGGAATGGGCAAAAAAAATCTTTGTAGTAGTGAGTCTAAGGGTAGTGACTAGAAGTTGGTTAAATCTGGTGATAGAAGAAAGCAAGTAACTGGCCAAGACTAATGATGCTAATATTCTGGAGGTTGGCAGAGAGGGGGCAGAGAAAGGGAGTGAGTACTTCCTTTCCTGTTGCAGCTCAATAGATGAACCCTTTACTACCTTCAACTAAACAAATTTCCAAACTCTTACAGCCTCTTAGCTGCAAGCTGTAAATAAATTTTTTTTAAATTAAATTGAATCCTATCATTCAATATCATGATTCTAAGACTAGAAGAGACCTGGAGGGTACAAGTCTTTGCATGCAGATAAATAATAGTAGTCTACTGGCAACTAATCTGAATTTTACTAAGATAATAATAATGGCAATATATTCCCTCAAGAGTATGGCTAAGCACTATAACCCTACAAATGGGGTTTATGATGGAAAAAAGTTTATGATGGGAAGACTGAGGTTACTATGATCATATTGTGATTTGCTTGTTTATTGATTAGCTATTGAATATCCTATCTTCTTGTAATTATTCAAAGATATATGTTACAGAAAAATATAATAAAAGTGGTAAATGGAAACAATGTAATCTGAATTATGCAGAAAACATTAAAAATGTGAGTATTATGATCATATTGTATAAAATAGATTGAATAATAATACAAATTATAAATTCTGAGTTGAATACATATTCACAGGCAAGAAAATACTATATCTGTAAAACTAATTAAAAATAGCAAATAACCTTGACTGGGGTAAAAATACATATATATATATTTTTTTGCTTTTCTATATGAATAAGAAAAACCTTCAACAATAAAAAGTCATTTAATGAATAAAAACTACAACAATAACAGATTACATTGATGTATTCCTCTAAGATATGCAAATTACTTTACATATATTATCTCATTTGATCTTCACAACATACCTATGGGATAAATATGATTATTATTTCTACTTTACAGATAGAATGGCTGAGGTGAAGTGACTTGACTAGGGTAACACAGCTAGTTTCTGGGGCAGGGATAGATCTAGGATATGGTTTTCGAATTAGCAGAGAAAGGAAAATAAGAATTATCCATAGATTCATAGAAGGTGAGAGCTAAAATTAGCCGGCAATTATTTACTAAGTGTCTAGTATGTGCCAAATACCATGTTAAAATGGCCCTAAGCAATCATTTAGTCCTTTTCCATAATTTTGGAAATGAATAAAATGAAGTTGAGAGAGGTTAGGTGATTTAGCCCAAGGTCACTGGGACAAATAGCAGAGAATCTCAACAAGGGTGGGGATTCAAACCATTTCTACTATTCTTGGATAAACGAATGTCCTTTAACCATTGTTGTAGCTACACAATGTCAAATATTTGGATGAAAAGTGAAAAATTATGAGCTACTGACTATTTGGAAAGTGAACATCTGGAAAACTGACTGAATTTTTCACTTTTTCCATTCAGATATACGGCACATTGTGTTCATATGCACTATGAATTTTTTTACTCCATTTTAATGAATTAATTAAATACATTTTATTGGCACCTGTAATTTCATCAATATGTGTTACTCCCTTCACTGATGGTGATCAGCAATTCCTCTGTAAATTATAGTTTTAGGGAGTTGTCTAAGATATTGAGAAGCTAAGTGGTTTGTCTGGGGTCAATTTTCAATAGACTTCAATCAAATTCAATAAGGATTTTTTAAAGTAACTATCTTTTTGCTAGCCATTGTGCTAGATTCCCAAGATACAAAGAGAAAAGTGAAAATAGGTTTTGCCTTTTAAGAACCCACACTCTACCAAGGGAAAAAACAAACAAACCAGTATATACATTACTGTGTGAGAGTGTATTTAAATTTCATTTAGGTCTGGCCTAATAGTGTGTGTGTATGTATACACATGCATACATATACATATACACAAATGCATATACACATATATATGTATATATATTAATCTGTGTACTCTTGTTTTGTTTTATATAGTACTGTATACTATAGTATGTGTAGTATATACTATATATACACTAAGTTGTATACTCTTGTTTTCCATATATGTGTATATATGTATATCTATAGACATGTTATACATACACTATATATAGATATACTATATCTATATAGATATATATGCATACATACACAAACACACATGTACTATCTATCTATCTATCTATAGAGAAGATTAGGCAAATCACACAAGTCACATATCAGAGGTTGAGTTTGGACTCTTCTATTCCTGTCTCTAAGGGCAACCCTCTTATCCACTATGTCAAGCTGTCTTTTAGCAATTATAATAGAATATTAGCACATTAACAATATAAAAATGAATAAACATGTTAACAATATCAATGAATAATATCATTAAAGTTTAAACTAAACCATGTGATGCTTTCAATGTTAGAAATAATGAACTTAAAAATTAAAAAAGACAAATTCTATAGACTAACAGTATAAATAAAATGTATATTAATATATAATATTTTAGAAGTTTTACCCACATGTGTAGGATAAAAGGGAAATTGGAATTTGTAAAAGCGAAATTCTCACATTGCAATGTTACAATGATTAAATATATAATGTTTATAAAATACTTAGCAGTAATAACCATAGTATAATCCTTACTAAAATAAGCAAAACATGTTTTCTCCCCAAATTAAAACAGACTATATCTGTGTGACAAGTTTACAAATATCAAAGAATCAACATGGCCTAAATACAATTAAATAACCATCAACAATTCAGAGGGAAACATTTCAAAATATATGGTTTGTTGACAATAGTGTACTGTCATCAGAGACTGTTACTATTTTTTTCTAGAAATCTTTTCTTTAAGAATTAGTTTAATATGAAATAGCTAGTAAATTAATATCAAAAGACAAAAAGACATTGCTTTGATACATGAGGCCTACTTTTCATAATTAGCTAAAATAAACATTTTAGAAATGAATGATCAAAGGACTGAATCTGACCCATGGGGAAAAATCCATTGAATCACAGGTTGCAATTAAAATAAGAGCTCATGCTGTTAATCTTTTAAATAATTTAATTTTTCTCATGTCAAAAGAAGATATTTAAGGGGAAATATGCATTTAAATACATGTTTTAGGCAATTCTGGCTGATGACATTCTACCCCCTAACTGTAAAAGAATTCACTTTGACATGAAATTCCATCAATTCATTTGCGATCTCTAAATGTACATGTAATGAAACCACAACTTACACGAAGATTCTGCTGAGTGTCTGGATGCCTGATTATTTTTTTCTCTGTTCTGAGCCAAAGCACTCCCACTGTTCATGGAAACAAGGTCTACATCCATGTCTTCTCTCCTTACAAGTCTTGCCTGGAAGCAATGGGAGGGAATGTACACAATCGTGAAACAAAATATGGCATTTTCTGAATGCAGCTCACATTACCCCAAATAAACAAACAGGCTCTGTCAAACAACCGTCTTCCAAATGATACCACAATCCTTTATTGCTGCCCAGGCAGAACAAATGCACTATGTCAAAGCATTTTTTGCAAATAAGAGCCGATTTCAAAATTGTGGTTTGCTATTTGAGTCTGTACAACAAAAGAAAACATTTTAGTACTGTAATTTTGAAGAAAATCAATCTTCCAGACAGCTGATGAAACCTTAAACAGCTTAAGATCATTTATTTACCAGTATATAATTTAATTCTTAATTGAATGTCAGAAATGTCAGAACCAGTTATTTTCTGCAATATTTAAGTTTTGTCCAATACAAGTATCAGTCTACTAATAAATGTAAAGTTTTTATTCTCTGTTTATTACAAAATCATGTTGAAAAAGAGATTTTTAAGTCTATAATTAATATACAAGTAACATAAAGGTCCTGTATTCTAGAAGTGATGACAATACATACAAAATGCTCTTGAGGGTTAAATAGGACAATCAAAACACAATTATTATATTTAAATTCATCAACATTTTTGCCTAAACCCATATTGAAGGATTTTTTTTCTGTTTATCAGAATAACATTTTAATTCACCATCTAATTTTACACTTAGCATGTATGCAGATTTAGATGAGTTTAAAAATTTATTCATTCACTCATTTTTCAGTGATTTCTATATGCAATGAACATTTTTCAAGTTATTTGGGACCAATTATTAGTCATAAAGCATGTGAAATCTATGAGAAGGCATTCTCCTCAATTTCTAGTAAGAATTTTTAAAATACAGCCAAAACAAAACCAAAAATACACACTATACACGATAAAAATTGCCCATGAAGTTATCGAAAACAATAGTACTATAATATATCTAAGAAAGACTTTCATACTAAATCAGATCTTTTTGTTTTTCTCTTTTCATTTCTCAATAGGGAAAAATAATGGTAGGATTTTATAGCAGAAATTATCTTATAGATTCTATAATTCATCCCTCTCATTTTAAAAAAGAGGCTAAATGACTTTCTCAAGATCACATACAGTAGAACTAGGACTAGAACCAAAGTTACCTTATTTATAATTCAATACTCAGTTAATAATAATAATCAATATTTATTAAGCACTTACAGGCTAAATGACTTTCTCAAGATCACACATAGTAGAAGTAGGACTGGAACCAGTCACCTGATCTATAATTATAATTCAGTTAATAATAATAATCAATATTTATTAAGTACCTACTCAGTGCCAGGCACTGTGTTAAGTGCTAGTGATACAAAAAGAGGCGAAAGATGGTCTCTGTCCTCAAGAAGCTCGCAATATAAAGCAGAGACAACAAGCAAACAAATATATACAAAGCAAGCTATATAAGAAATAACAGAGGAGGGGAGACACTAGAATGAAGAGAGGTTGGGAAAAGTGTCCTGTAGATGATATTTTAGTTAGGACTTAAAGTCAGGGAAACCATTAGGTGGAGAGGAGGAGGGACAACATTCCAGGCATGGGGGACAGTCAGAGGGAATGTCCAGAGAGAAGAGATAGAATGTCTTCTTTATGGAACACCCAGATAGCCAGTGTCACTGGATCAAAAAGTATGTGGCAGGGAGTAAGGTTAAGAAGACTAGAAAGGTGGTTTATGGTGGTGAATGGGTTTGGGTATAATGGAGCTTTGAATGTCAAATTAGGGTTTTGTATTTTATCCTAGAGGCAATAGGGAGCCATTGGAGTTTATTGAGTGAGTGAGGAAGGGGTGACATGGTTGGACCTGAGTCTTAGGAAAATCACTTTGGTGGCTGAAGAGAGGAAGGATTGGAGTAAGGTAAGACTTGAAGTAGGCAGATGCATCAGCATCTATTGCAATAGTGCAGGTGGGAGGCAATGAGGGCCTGCACCAGAGTGATGGCAGTATCAGAGAAGAGAAATATTTGAGAGATGTTGCACAGTTGAAATCAACAGGTTGGCCAAGATTGGATATATGGAGGATAAGAGATAGGGAGGAGTTGAGGGGTGACAGCCAGGCTGTGAGCCTGAGGAACCAGCAGGACGGTGTTGTCCTTGACACTAATAGAGGAGTTAAGAGGGGAGATTTTAAGGGGCAATATAAGTTCGGTTTGGATGTGTTGAGTTTCAAGGTGTCTGAAAGCCAGTAGATAGGTAGATTTGAGAAACATCAGCACAGAGATGGCAATTAAATCCATGGAAGCTGATGAGATCACCAAGTGGAGTAATAGAAAGGGAGAAGAGAATCTTGTAGACTATCTATGGTTGGAGGGTGGGAATTTGATGAGGATCTGGCAAAGGAACTTGACAAGGAGCAGTCTAATAGGGAGGAGGAGAACCAGGAGAGAGTGGTGTTGTGATAACTCTGAGAGAAGTTATCAAAGAGGAGAAAGTGACAAATGGCATCAAAGGTAAAGAAGAATGAGGAGTGAAAAAAGGACATTTGACTTCATAATTAAGAGATCATTGGTAACTTTGGAGAGAGGAGTTTCAGTGGAAGGAGGAGGTTGGAAGCCTCTATTTTCTTCACTATGCTATGCAGCTTCCCATGAGATTTCATATTAGTGATCATTTGAGACCTTGAAAAATCGCTGTGCCCCTAATATTCCTGGCAAATCTACAGAATGTATACAGATGGTGTCATTCCATGAATAAAACTTGTATTCCTACAATACTCAGGGCAAAGAGAGAGCCTCAATTAATGCCCAAACTTCACTGGACTCTATCTCCCAAAAGACAGTAGATGAGCTCACAACATGTTGATGGCATCGGTGTGAACTCCAATTGGGTAGAATCGCTTCCAAAAGGTCCTTCTTTTCCTTCTTTCTTTTTTAAAGGATGCAGTGTTTTGATAGTGGTGCACTTGCATTGTGAACATTGCTACCGAGGTAAGAAATTCAAGTTACAGCTATTCTGAACCTCTTCTCCTCTCAAGTCTCCCATACCATCCTCTCCTCTCTGTTCAGCAGAGAAGCTCATGGTTCACTGAGATCATCTGATATGAGCTCCCTCATTGCTACTACTTTCCATCTCAAAACTCAACATCATCTCCCCTTCTCTCCTCCTTTCCACTAGTCTTCGATAATGATGTGGTCCTTCTGCCAGCCTCTCTATCAGGACCGCCCAGCATGGCAAGCCTGCATCAAAGTGATGTGCTCTATGAGCAAAGCAAAACTGCAGTAGCCCAAAAGAATTTGTGAGACACACAAATTTAGACATATCCACTTCAAATATTCATATAGACTATTTGTGCCTAACCTGCGGTAGAGCCTTGTGAGCTCATATTGGTCTGCCCAGCCACAGTCAGACACACTGTATCTTAAGCCCAACATAGTGATGTCATTTTGGTCCTCTTTGAGAACAAAGGACATCAACCAATCAACCAACCAAGGCCAGCCTCTCTACATGTGCCAGTAATTCTGTCTCTTTTCATGTCCTTAGGCCTCTTCTTAGTCCTTATCATTCTTGAGTTCAGAGAAGCATTTGTCACCATTGACTATCTCTTCTTCCTTGATAGTCTCTGACATTATTCTCTGAACAGTCCTCAGGCTTTGCTGGATCATCATTCATGTCATATTCTCTAGAAGTAGGGATAATGTAAGCCTCTGTACTAGGTCCTCTCCTCTTCCTCTATAACAGTGGTGGCAAAGATGCAGCCCACTGGCCACATAATAGCCAGTGTTGGCCCAAATCAGATTAAAGTATAATTAGGAAATATATGACCCAATAAACAAAAGTACAGTAGAACATAGATAATGTTAATGTGTGGGTTTCTAAGTCAATACGTGGCCCACAGGGACCCTTATGTATGGTTTAGTGGCCCCTGTTTCCATTTGAGTTGGACACCACTGCTCCACACTATCTAGATTCCCATTGGTTCAATTATATCTCTATGCATATGGCTCCCAGACCTATATATGTAGTTCTAATCTTTCCTGTCACCTCCTGTATTCGTCATCATCAACTACTTAGTAGTATGTCAATTTGGACGTCCTATGAGCATCTCACACTCAAATGTCCCAAAGAGAGCTCATTGTATTCCCACTCAAATCCTTCCAAAAACTTTGTTTTCTCTGGAGGGCACTGGTCTTCCACTAGCTCAGGTCCACAAACTCCTCACTCTCCGTTATTGTACATAGTTAATAGGTCACCAGACTTTGTCACTTCTACATCTCCTTCATCTTGTCCCTTGTCTCCACTCATACAACCACTGACTTAGTTACGGGCTTTACCACCTTTAGCCTAAACTATTGCAATGCCCTTCTAATTGTTTTCCCTGCTTCCAGCTTCTCTCCTCTCCAATCCATCCTCCATACAGTTGCCAGAGTGAGACTCCTAAAACACAGATCTGATCATGTTATTCCTCTCCCCAAAAATCTCCTATGGTTCCCCATTATCTTTAGGATCAGATACAAATGCCTTTGCTTGACATTTTAAGCCTTTGAGGATTTTTATATAGCATTATTTTTCATGTACTCTACAACTCGGAAGAACTAGCTTCCTTGTGTTCCCCACACATACCCTTAGAAGTCTGCTCCGTAGCTTTGCACACAGCAGTCCATGACTAAAAAGCATTTATTCTTTTACCACCATCTCTTAGAATCCTTAGTTTCCTTCAAAGCTTGGCTTAGGCACCACTTTTCACATGAAGCTTCTACTGATCCCCTCAGGATCCCTAACTGAAATATCTTTACATTTATTTTGTACATAATTACAAATGTACATGCTGCCTGCCTTCAATAGAATGTAAGCTCCTTGAGTGAAAGGGTGGTTCCACTTTGTTTTTTTGTATCCCCAGTGCCTTAAAAAGCATGTTGATTAATTGACACCAAAGTAGAACCTATTATCTTACATAAGAATCCTCCTGGTGTCTCAGTTGACACTCATTATGTACTCAAAGGTTTTATAGTACATTTTGACTTGTTCTACA